AGACCCTAGTTTGGTCTCTCCAAAATAGAGGGTGGGCGGACAGATAGTACAGTGGGTGACACACTTGCCTGGCACATGGTCAAGCTGAGTTTGATCCTGAGCATCACCGGGAGTGAACCCTTAATACAGATCTAGGAGGAAATCCAGGAATAAAACCGCTAGGTGTGGCCCCCAAACCAAAAATAAAGAAATAAAATAGGGTGGGAGGTAACAGAGTCAAGTAGTCTCAATAGGACCCCAATGAAAGAGAAGAAAAGACAGCGTTTTCCATATTCTGAGACAGGATCTGGAATAGGATCCCTCAATCCTTCCCAAAAGCCACTTCTCTCTTCAGTCCTCCTGGATGCTGTTCCTTCAGTGCCACAGGTGATGGTTTCCCTAGGCCAACTCATTCTTCATTTATCAAGTCCTCCTAAATCTCTAAAACCTAAATATTTGGGAAAGAGTCCCAGGGAGAGGCACCTTCCTCTGTGTACCCAAACCATGTTGTTTGCAACGCTACAGAAATCAGCTCTCTTTGTTAAAATTGGGTCTCCAGCTGGAGCGAGAGTAGAGTGGGTGGGTGCTTGCTTGCATGTAGCTGACCTGCGTTTAATCCGCAACACTGCAAAAGATATGTTTGAGATATTAATGAGTGTCAAGCCAGGAGTAAGACCTGAATACTGCTGATTGTGACCCCAAAGTAACAACCAAAAAGACTTAGGTCCAGGAGCAGATGGACACCGTTTAGAGTTCATGACAGAGTGTCAGTGAGACAAAATCTCACTCTGTCAGGCCTGGTTTAGTGTTCAATGCCTTCTCACCTCTGCCAACCACTGGGAGATCATGCAGATGTTCTTTACTTTTATAAGAGACTGGACCAGAAACTTGCCCCCAATACCACCATATCTGTCATATAATTAATAACATTAAAATTGAAAATAAAGGTGCTGGAGCGATAGCACAACAGATAGGGTTTTTGCCTTGCACGTGGCCGACCTGAGTTTGATTCCCAGCATCCTATATCCCCCAAGTACCACCAGGAGTAATTCCTGAGTGCATGAGCTAGAAGTAACCCCAGTGCATTGCCAGGTGTGACCCAAAAAGCAAAATAAATGAATAAAATTGAAAGTAAAGAGTTTGGAATGCAGCTCAGCAGTTGCACACTTGCCTTGCAACTGTGAGGCCCAGGGTTCAATCCTCAGCATGCCCACCACCTCTGTCTTCTCAATTAATTTTCTTTTAACTGCAAATCACATACAATCACAAAGTAGCTCAGTTCCAAGGAAAACAGGTGACTTTGGGGAGGACAACACTCCAGCAGTGTTAAGCCATTTCAATTACATCATAAAAATAGCGACAAAAAGTGAAGTGAACCAAGAGATCCTTGAGTCCCCTATTCTGTCACTGCTGTCGAATCGCAATGGACTTGAATCAAAATTCTTACGACAGAGTCGCCTCAAAGAAGGCAAACCCAAATGTGAATGTATATTTATTAGGGTCCCACGCAGACAACGCTTCCGGCAGAAATGGACGACGGAAACTACAATGGCATCAGGCTAGTTATTCCAAGGATGTGACTCTGCTGTTAAGGTGGCTTCTAACTGAAAAGGGAGGGGGAACATCTGCTTTTTGCTGGGGTCAGGGCGCTGAGGAAGGGGGTCAGTAGTGTGTGCTTGTTGGATTTCTATTAGGAACACATAAACGGACTAAGAGTGAAACTTACATGCCACCTTAGAAACATGGAATCTGAGAAACAAGGCAGGCATTTTATCTTCTTTTGGCTGAGGTAATTCCATGTGAGCTTCTTTTCTTTCCGCTAAGCCTTAACATGATTTAAAATATATGAAAAAATGTGTTTTGGCTAGGGGTGGGTGGGAGGGGGGTATACTGGGGTTCTTGGTGGTGAAAAATGTGCACTGGTGAAGGGACGAGTATTTGATCATTGTATGACCCACCGAGACTTGAACTGAAAAGCTTTGTGACTGTTCTCATGGTGATTCAATTTAAAAAAAAAAAGAAAAATGTGTTTTATAAATATATAAAGTATAATATTTAAAATATTACATAGATAGTGGATATATATAAATATATATAGTTTTTTTTTACTACATCAGTGATGCTCAGGGGTTTCTCCTGGATTTGCACTCAGGAATTACTCCTGGCCGTGTTCAGGGCATCATATGGGATCGCAGGAATCAAAGCTGGGCATGTCTCGTGCCAGGCAAGTGCAGTTCCTGCTATACTATTGCTCCAGCCCCTTAATATCATTATTTTCTCAATAATCAACATCATTAACACCATAAGCCCAAGCTTCACATTTCCTCCCTTGCCATGCACTCCTCTTCCCTCCATGCACCCGTCCTGTCGTAACCTCTTTTATTTTGGTGAATGTTCTTCCCCTTTAAGTTCAGTCCCTTGTTCCTTATCTACCCTCCCTGGGCATCTGCGTTAATCATTAACTGCATGGGAATCCTTCCACTTTGTTTCTTATTCTTCAGCTGCAGAGGATTCATTTCCCACAGTCCATGTATGGAAGCAGATTAAGTCACAAAGGCACAGCCTGACCGGCGAAGTAGCTCTTCAGCTTCCCCTCTGCCCATTGCTGGATACCTTGTCCTTAAGTTGCTCAAATCAAAAGTCCAGGAAATACCATCAAGTTCTCTTTTCTCTCCTCATATTTCTGAAACACTCCAATCCATAAACAAGGCATGTAGGCTTACTCTAGAATAAACTCAAGACTCGTCACTACTTTTTTTTTAATTTTTAATTTTAAATTTTTTGTTTTTTTGGGTCACAACCGGCGATGCTCAGGGGTTACTCCTGGCTCTGCACTCAGGAATTACTCCTGGTGGTGCTCAGGGGACCATATGGGATGCTGGGAATCGAACCTGGGTCAGTCTTGTACAAAGCAAATGATCTACCCACTATTCTATTGCTCCAGCCCCCTCCCACCCCGCCTCCCCCTGTCACTTCTTATGCCTCTACCATTGCCACTCAAAACTTGCTTGTATCTTGAGAATGTGAGAATCGTCTCAGAATTCTTGAAATGCCTGGTGGACTCAGTTTCTCTAGAACTGAGTTGTACACAAGTAAGTTGTACACACACTTACTTGCCAGTATGTACACACACACACACACACACACACACACACACACTATTTGAATATTTTATATACCAAAATATGTAAATCACATCTTTATGCTCATAGTGTCACATTCTGTTTAGAATATATACAACTTTAAAAATAATATCTAGTTCTTTTGCCTATGAGATCCTAGTACCCAGGGTCTATGCAAATGTCCTTTTCCAGAACTAATGTCCTATTCCCAGTGGTGCCAGGAAATTTCAACCATTCTCTACTGCCTCTTGCTTTTTATATAGTAATTCTGTCTCCAGACAAGCATCTGCCAAGGTCCCTGTGCATAAATGGTTTTCTGTCTATGTACATCTGGCTGCCTGCCACCTGTATTGCTTAAGGAAAATTTAAGAATAACACCAATTTGAAACAACTGGTATGTTTCCCATCAGTCTTAATATTTTGGTGTTATTTTTATACTATTTAATTATTAAACACCATTTTTATACTTTAAAAGATTTTTTAAAACTTAAAAAGACATCGTAAAAATTAAGACACCATGATTTACAAAGTTGTTCTTAATAGAGTTTTCAACTCTGGCATCTAAAGTTTATTGCAGTAAATTTTATTTTGTACTTGGATCTTTTTGCAGTAATCATGATATCTTTCCCTGTTCAAAAAAAAAAAAGGCTTTTAAGACCTTTTAATGATAATTATTTCCAAACCTCAATAAGCAACTGGAATTTAAGCTGTGATTATCACTGCTTTGCGTATATTTTACTTTAAGCCAAGTCTGGAAAGAGCTTTCAGTTATTATTCCAACCTCATCGCCTTTGCACGAACCAGGTTCTAGGAGATGCAAGAGATTCATCACTATCATAGTGTCCCCGCTTAAGCAGCTTTTCAAGAATATATTAACGTATTGAATCTGTGCCTATTCAGATTGCTAAGGAGGAAGATTCTTTTCTCTCTAACAATCTTGATCACCAGTTTGGAGATGACGAGTTCTGGGATTCTGATCATCACTTTAGAGATGACTAATTCTAGAGCCTTCCATCAGAAACTCAAGTGTTTGCTTTGTCCTAACTAGTAACAATTCTGGCAACCAGGTGAGCAGGTGCTGTCCTCTTCCCCTTGGTTAGCCTGTTCTACAAGAGCCCGCAGCCCCTACTTCCACTAGAGGAGGGTCCCAAATTCCACTGGAGGGTCTTTTCAGGAGGGTCCCAAGTTCCACTGGAGTCGGGGTGGGGAGAGGGGAATAGGAGGGGGTTCCTCCTATGCGACTGGCTGCTTGGGGCCACTTGGTCGCCTGCAAGCAGGTGAAAAGCCCCGCAGGCAAGAGCAGGACCTGAGCCTGAGCCCAGTCTCCAGGGGCAACAAACGAAGCCTTGTGCCTCCCGCTGACGGACAGCGGCGGGAATTGCCAAAGCTCCCTGACCCGTGCAGAGACCCCAAGGCTAGCGCCCAGCGGACCCCGCAGCCCCGGCGCGCCCGGAGAGAGCGAGGCTGCTGCAAGCACGCGCGGGCTCGGCGCGCCTCGCGGAGCACGTCATTGTGCGGGCTCAGCGCCTCGCAGGTCACATCCTCCCAGGGCGGGCTCGCCGCCCCCTCCCCCCGCCCCCCACGCCACGGCGCCTGCGCCTCGCTGATCTCTTCTCGCGCTCAGATTTAATTTCCTATACTCGGGCCGGTTGGCGAGAGATTTAGAGCGCGAACTCCGGACTGCTAAGGGGCCAATCAGCTTTCTAGGAGGATGAATTTCTCTCCTCCCATTGGTCAGACGGCCCGTCAGTTCGCCCACGCAGTGTGATGAGCCCAGCTGGGCTTTGCAGTCCGGCCCTGCTGCTTCGTTTGCCTGTGCCCGCACGCACGGCACGGCTGCTCTTCCGAGGTGGTTCCTTTGAGCTCTAAGGAGTTAGAGTGCTCTGGGATCCAACTTGGAACCGCGCACTGCTGTTCCCAGGCTGTGTCTCTGATCGGTGAGTAGTTCTGCTCTGGGATCGAACTTGGAGCTATGAATGTGTGAGTGACTTAGACTCCAGGCCCCAGAGCGAAAGAGGCTTTGGGGGCAGAGGTGGGTGCAGGCAGGGCCCAAGTTCCGCTCCTCTGACTCAATGTGAAAGAGTTTTAGTTTTGGAAAGGCCTTTTCAGCTAGACTAGGGCGCCGTGCCAAACAGTGTGCCTCGGTGGAGCTTGGAGTTGGGTTGATTTACAAAATTTCAGGCTCACAGTCACACCCCAAACATCCCGAGTCATCTCCTTTCTCGGTGGCATCCTGGGTTTCCTTTTAACAAGTTCATGTTCACAATAACACCCAAGGTTGGGTCTGAGCAAGCTTCAAAATTTACATACCCCGACCCCACACAGAAAAATCCAAATCTACAAAATAAATGTAAATCCCAACCCAAAAAACAGCAACAACCAAAAACACAAGGAGAGGTGGAAGAAGAGGGTTTGAAGTGTTTCATGAATAGATGAGGGAGGACTCCCCACTTCCTTCTTCCGCCTGATCCTCCTTTTCCTCTGTCATCCTGACTTTCAGCTCACTGGCAGTCCCCATGAGCTCAGCCTGGCCAGCCTCACCCACCTTGGGGGCTCTGCAAGCTGTCCATTTAGTCGCTTTGGGGGTTCAGCTCATGCCACTGCCCTTTATTTTGGTCTGGAGAGGAGGTGGTGGGTCACACCTGGAGTAAGCTGACTCCAGACTCGGCTCAGAGATCACTTCGGCAGGGTTTGGGAGTCCTGATGTGGTGCCTAGGATTCCCTTGGACAGGATGCAAAAGGAATAGTGGGAAGATGCGATGGGAGGTTTCAGCTGAAGGCATCAGAGGGAAATGAAAGCGAAAGTACCAAAAGGCAGCTGAGCAGAAGCCTCCAAAGCAGAATAAAGCCTAGCAAACCCCACCAAGACTAGCCTACCTGGTGCTGGACTCCGATGGGCGTCCCTGGGCTCTGGTGCTGGCAGCAGGCAGACAGGCTGGAGCAGGCAAGGTGGGCTAAGGTGTCTGGGCTGGCAGGTGTTGTTTGGGGGTTGAGCAGATGCAGGAGGACCTCCAAGTCAGGGGAAGGCTCAGAGGCCAGGGCCACACTTGCTTCTCACCTCCAGGTGACCAAGATGATGCTGGAACCTGGTTCTTATTGCACAGAGTGACGAAGCAGAGAGTTCGAAGAGATCCAAGCAATGCCTCTCAATAAGCGGGTGTGCTTCTGCAGAGCCAGTGCTCCTTGGGAGGAAAGTGGGGAGTTGGAAGGAGGGAGAGGGAGAGCCCTGGAAGAGAGGAGGGAGAGAAGGAGAGCGAGTTAAGGGAGAGGGCTGAATTTGAAGGACTGAGATGGGAGGGGAAGGAAGAGGTGGGGAAGAGAGGAAAACAAGAAAAAGGAGAAGAGGTAACCCAGAGAAGCAGGAAGTGAGAGAGGGAGGAGAGAGAACAATTCTGTGAGGGAGAGAAGGAGAAATGGTTGGACAGGAGGGTTCTGGGTGAGTGAGGGGAGCAGAAAGGAAAGGAGGAAAAGAGACAAGACTGAGAGGCCGGGAGAGCAAACACGGATGTGTAGAGTAGGGGATCAGAGGAGGAAAGGGAGAGAGGGCTAGAAGAGAGGAATAAGAGGAAGAGAAGTAGAGGAGAATTAGGAGCGAATTAATGTAGCAGAAAGACAAAGGAGAGTGAGGGCAGGGAAGAGAGAGGGAGGGAAGAGAGGAGGGGAAAGAGGGAAATTCTAAAGGGGGAGGAGCCCTTTGGTAGGTCTGGAAACAGGCCCAGAAGGACTGTGTTGCTTTATGTCCTTATTGTTGGAGAAGGTCAAGGTCAGGAAGAATGTTCTCGACTCTCAAATAGCAGCTGCAGGAGGACAATTTTCATATTGAATAAAACATGGTTCTATCTGGGTTCCAGATATGTTGCTTAGGGTAGCTCTTGGGGTGTTGGTGTCTCTCTTCCTTGTGATTCCTCGAGGTCTACCCAGTGAACTTTGCAAATTCACATTTCTATCTCCTTCAGTAGACTCTTTTCTGGGCACATGCGTCCTCTGTCAAGTTACATAAGATGAGTCATCAGTCTCACCGGGCCTGCAACCTCTCTTCATGGTTGGGTATTAGGTCTTTTCTTTAGCATCTTACAATGTAGTCCAGACATTAACTGTTTGCTTCTATTTCTGTTCTGCCAGGTTCTCTGCTGTGTAAAAAAGCATCTTCGTGGTGAGTACCTTGATACTCTGATAATACTAACAGCAGGAATATGCATTATTGTATTTTTGTTATGTGCCAGGCATTGAGCTAAAGTCTTTAAATGGTTATGACAATGGAGGTTGATCCTGCTTGTATACCTGTCGATGTGGTTTGAAGAATGAAACAGAAATCTGACCCAGACTGAAGCCTGGATACAGTCCCTGATGTCTGGCAGTTGAACGCAACTGCTTTAATGAACACTAATTGTGGTACAGCATTTTTAATGTAGTGCCTTCATTTACAGCTAGTGATTCATTTTATAAACCAGCAGCTAAGAACGTGTTGCTGGAGGAAACCAGAAATGCTCTACACAGAGATGGTTAAGAGAGTTAGCCTAGTTTTCAGGAAAGTTCCACTTGACAAGAAATATAGGGTTTAGAGAGAAGTTGAACAACAATGTCCAGAAGCATCCTAGGAGGGGGATGTTCTATCAATGGCTCTTTGCTTCCTTCAGGAAGCCTATGCTTTCCGGGAGAAATGAGTCAGAAGGAGAGGGACAGATATAGGATGACTGCATTCATTATGGTATATGAAAGAGTATATAGTAGAAGGCTGATAGTCAAGGTTAGGGAACCAGGCTCAGAGGACTTGCCAATGGTTGGAATTTACCAGAAGTGTGTGTGGGGTGGAGGGTAGGTAAGAGAGAAGGGATCAGTGTGATAATAATATTTGGCAATGATCACACTGGAAAGAACTGAGGTAAAGAGATATGAATGATAACTTTTCAGTATCTATATTGCAAACCACAATGCCCAAAAGAGAGGGAGAGTGGAGGGTTCCGGAAGAGAAGGAGGGAGGGAGGGAGGGAGAGAGAGGAAGAGAGGGAGAGAGAGAGAGAGAGAGTGCCTTCCATAGACACAGGCTGAAGGAAATCAGGAGCATTGATATTGGGAAATGTACACTGGTTGAGAGATGGGTTTTGGAACACTGGATGACTGAAACCAAATAATGAACAGCTTTGTAAGGGTCTATCTCACAGTGATTCAATAGAAATGTCTTTTTAAAAAAGCCCATGCTTTACCTCAAGTAAAAGACTTATGGGACACAATAACTAAAAGCCAGTGGGTGTTTCAACTTGGTCTGAACAGATCAGAATTAAGGTTGAGAAGTCCTTCATATTTACGGATGAAAAATAATAACTCGTGATAAAATGTCAGACTTTTCTAACTATAGTATAGGAAAACTAAAAGATGTAAATTTGCAAAGGAAAAATTAACTCCATGATGTATTCACTGTACTGTTCTCTTTTTCTGCTCAAAATGTTCAGAAGTTTCCAAAATCATATTTTCCTGGGGCTGCGTGAGCCTGAGTGTGGCGCGTAATCTCTCTGAATGTATCAGTTCTTGAATAGCGAAGGGAAACTATGAATACCTCTTTTCCAGGACTGTAATGTTTATATGAGTTATCTTCTGTTCTCCGTGTATTCATTGAAGGGCTCTTTATAAGTGACACTTTTGTTGTTTTGTTTTTGTTTTTCGGTCACTCCAAGTGTTAGTCAGGGGTTATTTCTGGTTCTGCACTCAGGAGTCATTTCTAGCCATGCATGGGGCATCTTATGGGATGCCAGAAATGGAACCCAGGACAGGTACATAAGCCAAGCCCACTACCCACTGTAATATGGCTCCAGCCCCCATAAGTGAAGCTTTCTTGAGGGGCTTGCATGAACTGAGTTTCCTCTTAGGTGTCTGGATTCTGAAAACAGCTGTTACCATCCTAGTCTTTTATTCTAGTGATGTTTATCATTATTGCAGATATTGTTTATATTGTTCATTTTCTTAGAGCGAGAGAAAGCGAGAGAGCAAGAGAGTGAGAGAGTGACCTCAGAGGAGAAAGACAGGTGGCATACCTCTTCCAACAAGAAATAAAGCAGCAGGAAAGTTCCAGATTCTGCCTGGGTAAGCTCTCATTCTTTTGTGGGGGGAAGGGGTTCACATCTGGTTCAGGGATTAGCTCTGCACTCAGGAATCACTCCTGGTGGTGCTTGGGGAACTATATGGGATGCTGGAGATCAAACCCAGGTCAGCTGCGTCCAAGGCAAAGGCCCTACCCGCTGTACTATTACTCTGGCCCCTAATCTCTCATTCTAAATTGGTTTTGTTTTCTTAATTCGTTTTTTGATGCTTATTTAATCCTGTGTTTCTCAGCTCTTCCTTTCTCTTTTTTTTTTTTTGGAGGGGATTGTTGGAGGGGGTGGGGTGACAGGCTGGTAGGGACAGGTTGGGCCAGCTGTGCTCAGGGGCTGTTCTTGGTTCTTACTTACCCCTGTACTATCTCTCTGGTCCTCACCTCTTTCTTAAATGGAGGCTAGAGTAGAGTTTCGCATAAGTAGAGCACATTTATGAGAGTACCTCCAACACAGCCCGCTGTTTTTTGTTTTGTTTTTGTGTTTTTTTAAAATTTTTATTAGTGAAACACCATGAGTTACAGTTGTAGACTTACAAATTTTTGTGCTTGGGTTTCAATTATACAATGTTTGAGTACCCATTCCTCCACCAGTGCCCATTTTCCACCACCATGGATCCCAGTATCCCCCCCACCCCCAACCCACCCTGCCTCTGTGGCAGGGCATTCCCTTTTGTTCTCTCTCTCCTTTTGGGTGCTGTGGTTTGCAAAAGAGGCATTGAGTGGCAATCATGTTTGGTCTATAACCTACTTTCAGCATGCATCTCCCATCCTGGGAGGATCCTCCAAACACCCTTTATTTGGTGCTCCCTTCTCTATCTAAGCTGCCTTTTCCCCTGGCATGTGGAGCCCACTCTTTTGGGTCCTTGCATCTGTCTCTGGGCTTCTTCTCTTCCATGTAGCTCAGTCTTGTACAGGCCACTTTCTGGTTTCCCCAGTTGCAAAAGCAGGCGTACCTACTCTGCACAATAGAAAAACTAAAAGATGATTTTTTTTTTTTGGCAAAAGAAAAATGAACTCTGTCATCCAGAGAAGTTTTGCGTTAAGTAAGTAGTGTAGAGGCAGAGTGCTCTCTCAGAGGGAGCTTTTAATATTTTTCATTTAAAATATTTTGTTTGTGTTTTTAGTTGAATCACAGTGAGATACACAGTCACAGAGTTTTTCATGATTGGATTAGTTATATCATATTCCACCTGTCCCTTCACCAGTATACATTTCCCACCACTGATGGATGTCCTCAGTTTCCTTCCTGCCACCCCCCCCCCCCCCAGACTCTATGGCAGGGACTTGTTCTCCTCATCCTCCTCCTCCTCCTCCTCCTCCTCCTCCTCCTCCTCCTCCTCTTCCTCTTCCTCCTCCTCCGTTTTCTCCTCCTCCTCCTCCTCCTCCTCCTTCTTCTTCTTTCTTCTTGATCCTCCTCCTTCTCCCTTTTTCCTCTTCTTCTTCCTTCTTTTCTTCTCCTTCATTCTCCTCCTTTCTTCCTTCTCCTCCTCCTCCTCCTTCTTTTTTTCTACTCCCCCAGTACCATTACTCTTCCAAGGACTTCTTCTACTCAAAAATGTTCATCATCATCATCTTCTTCTTCTTCTTCTTCTTCTTCTTCTTCTTCTTCTTCTTCTTCTTCTTCTTCTTCTTCTTCTTCTTCTTCTTCTTCTTCTTCATATTCTGCTTCTTCTTCATCTTCTTCTTGTTCTTCTCTTTCTTCTCGTTCTTCCTCTTCCTCATCTTCATCCTCTTCCTCCTCTTTCTCCTCCTGCTTCTCCTCTTCTTTCTCTTCCCTCCTCCTCCTCTTGCTCCTCTTCCTCTTCTCCCTCTTCTCCTTCTTAACCTCCTCATCCTCCTTCTCCTTCCCCTCTCCCCCACCTCATCCTCCCCCACCTCTTCTTTCCCCTCCTCTCCCCTTTCCCTTTGGGCATTATGGTTTGCAATACAGATGCTGAAAGGTGAAAATCTATATCCCTTTCTTACTTTCAACACTCAGTTCTTGTCCACAGTGATCATTTCCAACCATTTTTGTCATAATGGTCCCTCCTCTGTCCTAACTGTTGTCTATACCAAACACACTTGTTGCAAGCTTCCAACCATTGACCAGTCCCCTTGGCCCCTGTTTTCTATGGCCTTGAAATATTAGTCTCATGCCGTTTTTTATATCAAAGGTAGCGTTTTATTTTTGAGGTGATTTTCACTGGTGGATAAGCTGTCTGCTGACTAAGTTAATACCACACAGGAGAGTGTGTTGAGAGCTGAAGGAGGAAAACTGGGAAAGATCTTATCATCTTTACAATTAATAGATAACTATGGAGACACTACCGTAACATGAACCTTGAATTTGAAATTATTGTTTCAGCAAGCCATCATGAGTTCTAAGAATCGCAGATCCCAGAGGATCCCATTCAATGAGAAGACGAATTTGAGAATGGAGCAGTTTTTCTCTCCGGTATGTTTATGAATGATGTTTATGAAATATACTTATTTATTTCCCCCCACATTGTTATTGCGGCAATCTGCAATACTGCTAATGATAATTTAATGTATAAGTTAATTCCACACCATCCCCACCCCTAGAGTGCCCACTTCCCTCCACCAGCGTCCCTTATAACCATTACATCTCCCCCCAGATAAGGTCAGTTCTGTAGACCAACTTTTCAGTTCTGTTGCCTTTGGCCATTTGTTGCTCCTTCCTAAGTATACTTCTATGCCACACAGGAGAGGGATCATTAAGTGACTATCTCTCTCCTTCCCACTGACTTCACCAGTATGATTCTCTTGGTCCCATCATATAGCAGCAAATGGCATGATTTTGTCTTTTTTTTAGCTGCATTGTACAGAGTGTACCAATTGTAGACTTAGCTACCTCTGACATTGGATTTCATAGTCACTACTACCAAAAAATTGCCTTATGATGAGAATTTAAGGTTAAAGTCTTTCTCATCCATTTTCTTTTTTTTTTTTCCCTTTATTTTATTTTATTTTTTTTAAAGTTGTAGATTTACAATTTTTTGTGCTTTGGTTTCAATTATACAATGATCAGATACCCATCCCTCCACCAGTGCCCGTCCTCCACCACCATGGATAATATCCCTCCCACCCCCATCCCCCCATCCCCCCTGTCTCTGTGGCAGGGCAATCCCCTGTGTTCTCTCTCTCCTTTTGGGTGTTGTGGTCTGCAAAAGAGGCATTGAGTGGCAAACATGTTCAGTCCATAGTCTACTTTCGACATGCATCTCCCCTCCTGGGAGGATCCTCCAAACATCCTTTATTTGGTGCTCCCTTCTCTATCTGAACTGCCCTTTCCTCTAGGATACCCGGCTGGCCTCTAAGTTATGGAGTAATCCTGCTGGTGCTGATCTCAGCTATTCTTGGGTATTAATCTCATATTTTGTTACTTTATATCCCCCAGATGAATGCAATCTTTCTATGTCTATCCCTCTCTTTCTGACTCATTTCGCTTAGCATCTCATCCATTTTCTTCTATTTGCAGGGTATGGCAGTGGGGAAGGGAGTTCTAATACAAATCATCTCTTTGTCCAAATCATCTCTAATAAAAATGATTGTAACATTTTTTGAACAACAGCAAAGGGTGAAATATAAATTTCTTTAGTCAATTTCCATGGAATAAAGACAGAATTAGTGGTATTTTGTAGCTTCATGTCATATGTGTCCCCAAATATGGCAAATTTATGTGATCAAAAGAACAAACTATACTTAGTACTTTATAAAACAATTAAATTATTGAATCTAAAACATAACCTTGTTGGGCAAGCAGTAGATTTATTACCCTTAGCTTGTTGATGAGGAGAGAAGTAAATTGTTGCTCTAAACAAAAGTAGCATAAAGATTTGACTTAAGTTGCTGTTTCTCTGAACTGTGATCTGTTATCTAGTGTAACCACAGGCTCATCTGTGGTCTATAGAGGTACTAACCATGGGAAAGAAGAGTACAGTATTAAATGATGACAGTCCCTTATTTTGAGCACAAAACCAAAATTACTAAGCAGTGTGCTGGTGTGGGAAGAGCAAAAGAGATTTGAAATCTCTTAAGGATGCTGGTAGAGGTTATTGAGTACTTTGGTTTGGTGAAAGTACAATAATTTTGTATGACAAAACCATGAAAGTTATATTACAGTAGCCATGTTACCTAAAATACAGATAAAAATTATTATTATTATTATTATTATATTTTTGCTTTTTGGGCCATACCCGGTGATGCTCAGGGATTATTCCTGGCTCTTCACTCAGGAATTACTCCTGGCGGTGCTCGGGGAACCATATGGGGTGCTGGGAATCGAACCCGGGTAGGCCACGTGCAAGGCAAATGCCCTACACGCTATGCTATCGCTGCAGCCCCTAAAAATTAGTTTTTTAAAAAGCTGAAAAATTAGTGATATAAAAATAAATAAACAAAATTTTATCTAAACTTATCAGGCAGATGATAGAGAAATGGCGATCACTTGAGACTGAAGCAAAAATGTTTTAACTTCTTTTTTTTTTTATCCTGGTTCTTGACTAGAATATACAAATATCTTGAAAAGACCTAGTTTTGCCATTTTCTGTGCTACTTTATGACAGAGAGCTAAAATGTCTTCTGATATGCTCCCCCAGTATCTCTTTTGAAAGTGTCTTTATGCCCAAAATGGTCTGAATAGTTGGAAATCTGTTAGCGTGTACCCTTGGGTATGTGACAAGAGCACTTCTGACATGTAGGCTGTAGGGATATTATTTGATAGTTCCCTGTATAGACAGAATAAATCTACGTTACTTTTCTCTCTGAAATAAAAGTTAACCTATTATTGAGCCAATCATTACATTAGGCATTATGAAAGGTGATGCTACATTTTATTTATTTATTCATTTTTGGGGGGGAGGTCAGACCCAGGGGTTATTCCTGGCTCATGCACTCAGGAATTACTCCTGGCAGTACTCAGGGGACCATATGGGATGCTGGGAATCGAACCCGGGTCGGCCGTGTGCAAGGCAAACGCCCTACCTACTGTGCTATCGCTCCAGCCTCTGATGCTACATTTAATAATCACAACAATCCTGGATTTTCAGTCCCTTACTGGCCAGTGATGGCTGGCACATTTGCACCTATTTTGTTTGTTTGTTTGTTTGTTTGTTTCTTTCTTTCTTTCTTTCTTTCTTTCCTTCTTTCTTTCTTGCTATTTGGGTCACACCTGGTATTGCTTAGGTGGAATACTCCTGGCTCTGTACTCAGGAATTATTCCTGGCAGTGTTCAGGGGACCATATGGAATGTCAGGGATCGAACCCAGGTTGGCCACATGCAAGGCAAATGCCCTACCGCTGTACTATGGCTCTGGCCTTCCTGCACCCACATCTTTGGACACACATGGAATGATGATTGTGACTGAGGAGAAAAGTGCTACTTAGGTAGAAGGATTAGGTACTCTTAGTTTCTGTGGGAATTTCTGGTATTTGATTTATCCTCCTTATTTATTCTGTCTCCCTTGCACTGTTTTTTAAATAACTTCCTATTAAAAGGAAACTAGAGATTTAAAAATTCTCCCCATTCCCATTCCCCTTTAAGAAGATTGTATGTTCTAATAAAGAATGAATTAAGTACTTGGAAGTTCTGATGCGTGCTTTACCCAGTAGTTCTTTGCAGCCATAGAATATGCTCCTGTCAAAACAAAAGGTTTTGTGCCTCAGTTGCCTTGTGGAAAAGAAAGGCAATGTATGTTCCTTTTCATTTCATAGGATTTTTAAAAAACGTTATTGAAAATTTTCCCGGCACCAGTTGTTGCCTTTGCAACTTTTTTTTTTCTGGTGTCACCCCTACTGGTGCTCAGGGCTTACTCATGACTCTGAGCTCCAGGATCACTTCTGGCAAGGCTTGGGGGACCCTCTGGGGTGCCAGGGATTGAACAGTGTGGGTTGCATGCAAGGTAAGTGCTTTATCCACTGTACAATTTCTCTGGATATTAATGGATATAATAGGAGAAATAGTTTAAGTCTTTATATGATAGATACTGAGTGAAAGGTTTGTATTATTAGAAATAACTATACTGTTTTGACCATATGATTAGTGAGCTACTGTTGGTTTTAACATTTCATACCTGGTAAGAAACCATGGGAATTTATTCCTGCTGAGTTTGACACCTTAAGAACAAGTGTTTGCTGCAGTTTATCACCATGCTTGATAAAAGTAAGAACTGTGTATTTAATATAGTCAACAATACTAGAAATAATACTTTTGGTGCTGGAGAGATAGCACAGGGGTTAGGGCATTTGCCTTGCACACGGCTGATCAGGGCTTGATCCCTGACATTCCTCATGTTCACTGAAGCCCCACCAGGACTGATCCCTGAGTGCTGGTTCCGGAATAAGTTCTCTGCATATCCTGGCGTGGCTCCCAAAAATCCAAAAGTGAAAGAAGAGAACAAAAAAGAAATACTACTTTAAGAGTCTGATTTTGTTGGTCCTGAAAAATTGTTTATCCTCAAATTTCTCAGAAAAATATAACAAGATAGCAGCAGTAAGAGCTTAACTGATGTGATGGGACAGAAAACAGCTTAACATTGAATGCCAGCTCAAATTTGGACTTCCTTGTATTCACAATCTGGACACTGTTTCTGAGATTCCTGTAGGACTTTCATGAAAAGACTAGTATAACATTCAGAGTTTGAGCATTTTTTTTTAACCTTAATTTTTAGGTCAGCAAAGAGGAAACGGAGAAGGACTCTGGGAATGATGCAAAAGAGAAACCTGGCATCCAGGCCAAAGGGCCCAAAGATTCGAAAATAAAACTTTTAATTCAAGTTGAGGGAGAAAGCAGACCAATTGAGTATTCACACAGCAAGAAAGACATCTTATATAGGGCACTGAAGTGTGTTGGAGCTCTCAAAGCAATCATGATCTCTCAGAGTGGCAAGCAAGTGCTGGTGCGTACCATACAGGGCATTGAAGCTTACTTAGCCCTTCACAGCCCCCTCCACTGTTTGCCTGAAGTCACTCGTTTGCAAATTATCGTAATTAGAAGTCAGAGTGGGGAGACAGAAGTCAACATCAACTGGTTACTTGACTATTCTCCTGATTTTAACACCAACTGTGTCAAATTTTATATTCATACAGTTGGGAAGAGGGCGGAAAGGATTGTTCAGTGCAGGAAACTTCACAAGCAAGGGAACAAACTCTGTGTCTATGGTTTTGAAGGAGAAACCATTAAGGAAGCTTTGTGCCGGGACGGCAGGTTTCTGCCCTCTGTGGAGAACAGTGTTTGGAAACTTGTGGAAAACCAGGAATACATTTTAGAGAGCTCCCAGCTCGTGGATGACCTGGAGGGAAGACTCTTTGAGCTTGAGTTTGAGAAAAGGAGTAGCTCAAGGACAGCCGGTGCTCAGAATCTTGAGACAGGAGAGAGAAATACAGAAGCAAGTTTAGACCTGTACCCTGGTTTGAAAACAGAAAGTGAAAAATTCAAAGAAAACTTTGAGAAGGAATTCAAGGGAGCCAAAAGAAAAGCCAGATTCTTTAACTTACACAAAACAAACTTTTCAAAACTGGTCAAGGACTCTACTCCAGTGACAGTACACAAACTTCTTTATAATCTCAGCAGCTCAGTTGGGTACCTCTCATGGAACAACAAGGGAAATATGGGCTGTGCCACCTGCTTTGTTTTTCACAAGCAGTTCATTTTCACTTGTTGGCATGTGGTGAGAGATATTGTGGGAAAGGGAGTAGATCAAACTAAGTGGGCAACCTTAGTTAGTGAGTGTACAAAGGTGTCATTTGGTTATGAAACGGTTATACAGAAGGAAGAGAAATGCTTCTCTCTTGAGCCTTGGTTTGAGGTAGCTGATGAAAGTCTTGATTATGCTGTTTTGAAACTGAAAATAGAGAAAGTCCAAGTTCCTTGTGGACTCTACAAGGGACTTCATCCTGCATCATTTGATGGCTTGATATATATAATTGGTCACCCAGAAGGAAAGCCAAAGTCTACGGAGTCTTGCCTTGTGATCCCTCAGGCTCAGCGAGAACAAGAATGTCTGGCTAGGCAGGCAGAGGTTCCCTTTTTCCACATGTTCACTCAAAGGAGTTTCCAGGAAATAAGTGAAAATAATGATGTGATTACCTATCACAGCTCTTTTTTCTTCGGGGCTTCTGGATCCCCTGTGTTTAATGCAGAGGGTTCGCTGTTGGGCATGCATGCTGCTGGTCTGAGTATTAACTTCCACAAAGATACACTCATTGAGTTTGGCCCGTGTATGCGTTCCATTCTTAGTCATATGGAGAAGAACTTTCCTAAGTGGTATTTAGAAATAGCTGCCAATCCCATTCAGGATGAAGAAATGGAGGATTGAGAATGGCGAGAATTCAGTTTTCTTAAGGGAAATTCCTTGCATTCCATAGGGCGTGGGGGCTGCGGATTTGATAGTAAGAAATAATGATTGCACAAGTTGTGAGGGGAGCCTCTGCCACCAACAGATACCAAAGTATCTAACTGGCATTCCCAGTTAACACTTTGGATAGATTTTGCAAAGTTAAAGAATTTTGGTTGAGGGGCTGGAGCGATGGCACAGCGGGTAGGGCATTTGCCTTGCACGCGGCCCACCGGGGTTCGATTCCCAGTATCCCATATGGTCCCCCGAGCACCGCCAGGTGTGACCCAAAAAGTTAAAAAAAAAAAAGAATTTTGGTTGCAAAGTTAGATTTATCTTCTTAATCTGCCAGAGACAGAATGTCACAGCCTGTAAGATAACACTGTTCTGTCCTTCCTGCATAACCTCAGGAATAGTTGATATTTGATAGTTCCTTAAGAGGTAGTTTGCCCTTGGGCAGTCAGGAAGGGCTTTGGAATTACCTTTTAGATGGGTCCTCAGGAAGGGCTGTCTTATGTTGATTTGGCGACCTGACTGGGTGGAGTGTCAGCCGAGACTAGAAGGGAGCGGGAGAAGGAGAGAGCAGGGCTGCAAGAGGGACCACGGAGAGACTAGCAAGGGGAACGTGTGCTTGAGAGAACCTAGGCCCTCCACAACATAAGGTTCTTCTACTGTTGGGATCGGGAGTCCCCTGGCCCTGGGAGGCGCGGAGAGACCAGACAGACACAATTCCTGCAGGAGTAAAAACGGGGTTTATTTAGACCAGCATGCTGGGGCTCCACAGCATACTCCAGAGTGGGCAGTGGCTGAGAGCCCCGAGCTTCTTCAAAGGGGATCTTACATAGGCCTTCATCAACCATTACAACAAAGCCCGCACATTTCATAGCCAATAGATTTGTAACAACATATACTTTCTTGACCAATCCATTTAAAATTACATCACTCCTTAGCCTATAGATTCAAAGATCAGCCTTTACGTACATTGATTGTCAGCACAAGCAAAGTCATAGCCGGAATCATTAAGCCTTAGTCATCTCCCGCATTTTGAGTTATCCATTACCCAGGACATTTACAAGGGTCTTAGCTAGAACAATACATTCCTGGAGCGTTGGCAGTCTGCACGCATCCTAAGTTATCCTTTACCCAAAACGTCGACAGGGGTCTTTGCTGAGACAATACATCCCTGGGATGGTGAATGCACCTGAATCCTACCATACTTGGGTTTACAAGAAGTTATGCCCAATTCACATTCCAGGTTCCCGCCCTTCCCCCAAGAGCGAAGCAACCAAGCAGTTTTATAGAAAGCAATGTTGCAAGTTAGCTGAACCACACAAAAATTTGATGCCCTAAAATGGATTCATTCACTACGGGATAAACTTCCTTGTAATAAAATGCTACTAAGATCAACTGGCCTGGCCCTCGTCTCTTCCTTCGTCTGCCCTTGGCCAACAGCCGTCCAGAGAGCCCGCGAACACACAACCTTCTGCAAGTATAGTTTTTTACAACAGCCGACATTGCCTAGTGATATGCAAGATGATTTTAGCCTGAGAGTTTGGTGTTTGGGGGCTATCCGGGCCTTATTCTGTGACACCACCAAGGATCAAGTTGATATTGTGGAGCAGGAATAGATCAAACTGAGTGGACAGGCATAGTTAGTGAGTGTGTAAAGGTGTCATTTGTTAGAGGTCACAAAGAAGGTAGAGAATTGCTTCTCTCTGGACCCTTGGTTTCAGGTAACTGTGGAAAGTTGATTATGTTGTGTTGAAACTGGACACGGGAGAGGGAGTCCACATTCTTTCTGGGCCCTATGGGAGACCTACTCCTGTGTCATTTGGTGACTTGATATGTATTATTGGTCAGCCAGATAGAAGCTTGCCACTGTCTCCTGATGACCCTAAAAACTTTTTAAGGCAACAGGTAAATAATATCTTGAAGTTGAAAACAACATTTTCTTTCCTCTTTAACAAATTGTGCTGACAAAACTGAACAGCTACATGCAAAAAAATGGGCTCAGATCTCTACCTAACACCATGTACAAAAGTAAGATCAAAATGGATTAAAGACCTCAACATCAGACTGGAATCCATAAGGTACATTGAAGATAAGGTTGGCAAAACCCTCCACAACATTGAAGCTAACCATTTCTTCAAAGATGACATGCCACTATGTCTACATACTCTACATCACTAATCATCAGGGAGATGCAGATCAAAAAAACAATGAGATATCATCTCACACCACAGAGACTGGCCCCCATCCAAAAGAACAAAAGCAGCTGGTGTTGGCGTGGATGTGGGAAGAAAGGGACCCTCCTTCACTGATGGTGGGAATGCCTACTGGTTCAGCCCTTTTGGAAAACAATATGGACGATTCTCAAAAAATTAGAAATTGAGCTCCCTTTTGATCCAGCAATACCACTCCTGGGAATATATCCCAGAGAGGCAAAAAAGTACAGGCAAAATGACATCAGCACTTCTATATTCATTGCTGCGCTGTTCATAATAACCAAAATCTGGTAAAAACCCGAGTGCCCAAGAACAGATGACTGGTTAAAGGAACTTTGGTACATCTACACAATGCAATACTATGCAGCTGTAAGAAAAGATGAAGTCATGAAATTTACATACAAGTGTTCAACATGGAAAGCATCATGCTAAGTGAAATAAGCCAGAAGGAGAGGGACTTTCTTTCTGGCTGCACTCAAAAGACTGCGCTCATCTGGGGAATATAAAGTAACAGAATGGTAGACAAACCCCCAAGAATAGTTAAGATAAGTACCAGGAGGTCTGCTCCACGGCTTGGAAGCCAGAAGCACATGCTGGGAAAAAAGACAGCTCAGATAGAGAAGGAAACACCAAGTAAAGGATGTTTGGAGGATTCACTCGGGATGTGAGATGTGTGCTGAAAGTAGACTACAGACCGAACACAATGGCCACTCAATACCTCTGTTGCAAACCACAACACCCTAAAGGAAAGAGAGAGCAAAAGGGAATGCCCTGCCACAGAGGCAGGGTGGGGTGGGGGGTGGGGGGTGGGGGTGACGGCTACTGGGATTATTGGTGATGGAGTATGGACACTGGTAGAGGGTTGAGTATTCGATCATTATATAACTGAAACCCAAGCATGAACGTTTGTAAGTTTACAACTGTACCTCATGGTGTTTCACTAATAAAAAGAAAAGAAAACAACATTTTCTTGTTTGTGCTAGAGAGAGAGCTCAAAGGGCTACAACACCTGTCTTGCATGCAACAGCCCCAGGTTTGATCTCTGGTGCAACATGATTCCCTGAACAACATTGAGAACAACCATAGAATACTATTGGGTATGGCAAGACAAACAAATTGTTTTTTCTGAACTTACAGATAATTTTAGAAGTCCCACAAATAATCCTTATAAATCGCAAGATGGTTTTAAAATACATTACCTCGCTTCTCAGTGCAAAATGTGCTAGAAATTGATGAAACAGAAATTTGGATTTCAAAAATTGGTGTGTTAAAATTTCCAGAGTTCAATAATAGTCAAGATAAGTACCAGGTGGTTCACTCCATGACTCCAAGGCCAGCCACATATGCTAGGGGAAGAGGCAGCTCAGATAGAGAAGGGAACACCAAGTAAAGGATGTTGAGAGGATCCTCCCAGGATGGGAGATGCATGCTGAAAGTAGACTATAGACCGAACATGATTGCCACTCAATGCCTCTTTTGCAAACCACAGCACCCAAAAGGAGAGAGAGAACAAAAGGGAATGCCCTGCCACAGAGGTGGAGTGGGATGGGGGGATGGGGGGTGGGTGGGAGGGATACTGGGATCATTGGTAGTGGATAATGGGCACTTGTGGAGGGATGGGTACTCGATCATTGTATAACTGAAACGTAATCTCAAAAGTTTATAAGTCTGTAACTGTATTTCACGTTGATTCATTAAATAAAAAAATAACCAACTATAAGCATAAAAATTTGTAAGTCTACAACTGTACCTCATGATGTTTCACTAATAAAAATTTTTAAAAAATTTCCAGAGCTGTCCATTTTATTCAAAGCAAAGAAACTGCTAATACTGATAGTGATATTGCAGTTTGTTTTGTTATCTTTGTAAGCTGTTTATATTAGGGTATTTTAGTGAAGAGTACGTATGACAGTTCTGTCTTATTTCTTTAATTGTATGGAGATCTACCAGTCTTTTTTTTTTTCTTTTTGGGACACACCTGGCAATGCTCAGAGGTTACTCCTGGTTTTGCACTCAGGAATCACTCCTGGCAGTGCTCAGGGGACCATATGGGATGCTGGGAATCGAACCCGGGTCAGCTGCGTGCAAGGCAAACACCCTACCCACTGTGCTATCACCCCAGTCTTTCAAAAAAAAGTCAGTGGAACTTATTCTTTTGGGGGGCCATATAGCTGGCACAGCTTACTTCTGGCTCTGCCTCAGGAACTTGGGGAACTTTCTAGCATGTCTATAGGTTGAACCTGTATCAGTCATGAGCAACAAGAACCCCACCTGCTGTTAGCTCAGGCACCAGCAACAGAATCTTTGTCTTTTTCTCCTGCTTCACTCTCACTGGAAACCTCAAAAGAATGTGAAAAGCCATGAAGCACCACAAACACCGTACATGGGCTAATTGTCCTGCCAAGGTTTTGAGATTCATCTCACATCAAGGATTACACATATGATTAAGAAGACCCCTGACGTTTTCAGGATATTTTGGTACCGATCCCTGAATATTAGGATTGACTTGGAAGATCCAAGGACTGGATATACATGTTGATCTCTATTATTATTGACAAATTAGAAATGAACATTAGTCAAAGATTGTTATGAGTTATAAATTACCATAGCTTATAAAAGGACAAGCAGTTTAGAATAGCTTGATTACTAATGTCAAGTCATCTAGATATTATTTATATTCTCTTAGTGCTGAGTCAGGCTATATACAAACCCTCTGATGTGTCATTGGATATTTTTGTTCCACTGTAATACTTAATCCTGAGAAGTATTACGGATACTAGAATATCTGGTAAAAAAAAGTCAGCCCTCTGC